ATGCGATAATCCAACTACGCTAACGAAGCTGTTATGTTAAGCGGTCCCCTTATTGCGTTACTATACCGTTGCGCCAGAGGGGGAGACAGCGATTATGTAAGGCTCGAAAAAAAGGGCAGTTGGAAATGGCGCTGAAGCGGTTCGTCCGGTGCGGCCGTCGCCGTCATCGGCCGTTGGCGAAGGAGAGTGGCGGGTGGATAGCCGATTCCCCGTCCATTCTCGACAGGAGCCGTTGGAGTTCGAGTTCGGTTCGGCGTTCGGTCAAGATGGCTGTCTCGGGGCGGAAGCGCTGTCCGTTTGGTTCCCCCGCTCTCCCACTTTGTCTCCCCCACACTTTTTTGGCATCGAGCGACTTGGTGCCAAGCTAGGCTGCCATATATACCCCCACATCTTCCTTCGCCCTCGCCACCATTATTGGCACACGAAACAACACAGACAAGATGCTCAAGTTCGACGAGGTCCAGAAACACAACTCGCGCGAGTCGTGCTGGGTGGTGGTGCACGGCAACGCGTACGACGTGACCGAGTTCCTGCCCGACCACCCGGGTGGAGCGGGCATCATCCTCAAGTATGCCGGCAAGGACGCCACGGAGGAATACGACCCCATCCACCCTCCTGGTACGCTCGAAGAGAACCTGCCCAAGGAAAAGTGCCTCGGCCCCGTAGACCCCTCGACGATCAAGAAGGAGGAGAAGGTCGAGAAGAAGCAGGTGGCCAAGGATGATGGTGGCGTGCCCCCGCTGTCGCAGTGTCTCAACCTGTACGACTTTGAGGTGATCGCCAAGAGGGTGCTCAAGCCCACCGCTTGGGCCTACTACTCGAGCGGTGCCGATGACGAAGTGACCATGCGCGAGAATACCTCGGCGTTTGGTAGGATCTGGTTCCGACCACGCATTCTCAGGGACGTCAGCAAGGTCGATTACTCCACTTCGCTGCTCGGCCAGAAATCCACCCTGCCCGTCTACATCACCGCCACCGCCCTCGGCAAGTTGGGCCACCCTGACGGAGAGAAGAACTTGACCGTGGCGGCGGGCAAAGAGGGTGTGATCCAGATGATCCCCACCCTGGCGTCCTGTTCCTTCGACGAGATCGTCGCCGCCAAGACGCACGATGCACAGGTGCAGTTTATGCAGCTCTACGTCAACTCGAACCGCGCCATCACCGAAAACATCATCGCCAAGGCCGAAAAGGCGGGCATCAAGGGGCTTTTCGTCACCGTCGATGCGCCCCAGCTCGGTCGCCGGGAGAAGGACATGCGCATGAAGTTCGACGATGTCGGCAGCGACATGCAGAACCAAAACAAGGACAACGTGGATCGATCTCAGGGCGCAGCACGCGCCATCTCGTCGTTCATCGACCCCTCGCTCAGTTGGGACGACCTCACCTGGCTGCGTTCGGTCACCAAGATGCCCATCGTGCTCAAGGGCGTTCAGACCTGGGAAGACGCCGTACGTGCCGCCGAGTTGGGTCTCAGCGGTGTGGTGCTCTCCAACCACGGCGGTCGACAACTCGACTTTGCGCGCTCCGGTATCGAGGTGCTCGGCGAAGTGGTCGAAGCGCTCAAGGCCAAGGGACTCTTCCCCAACCCCATGTTCCAGATCTTTGTCGACGGCGGTATTCGTCGCGCCAGCGATGTCCTCAAGGCAGTCGCCATGGGTGCTACGGCAGTGGGTATTGGTAGGCCGTTCCTCTATGCCTACTCGGCGTACGGAAGCGACGGTGTGGTGCATGCACTGCAGCTGCTCAAGGCCGAGATGGAGA